GTGTTTTGTCACTCGCACCCCCAGCCACTCCAGCTTCTCCACCCCGCGTCTCTGGAGCGGGGATTTCGCAAGTTGAACAGCGGCAGCGGGGAGCAGGGGCGCACGGAGCGGACGCGGCGGCCGCCAGCCCCCACCGCGGGCTCCGAGGCGGCTGCGGGGCTCCGGCGCTGCCAGCCTGCAGATGTGTTTTAAGTGTTATTGATTCGCCCGCGTCTGGGTGGCATTTCCTCCCCACCCCCCGCCCCGCTTTAATCTTCATCTTGGCTCGCGCCCGGCCGACCCGGGAGCATCCAGCATCCAGGAAGCGGGTCCGGTGATTGGTTCTGGCTGCGCGTGGCTTTATCTCCTTTTTCATTAGAAAGGGAGTGGAGGGATCCGGAAGGGAAAAACGAAAGGAAAAACAGCAACAACAACAAAAAAATCACCTACCCTGGCCGCCCTGCTCCTTCAAGGGAGGGGAAGGAGGGAGGGAGAGACCCAGGAGGATGCTGGCCTTCTGCCTCTGCGGCTGCCCTTTGGGGCTGGGAGAGGCATAGGCTGGAGGGGTGGAAGTTGCAGGGTGACTTTGGACCAAGCCCTGTTGCTCCCTGGGCCTCAGATTACTCATCTGTAAAATGGGCATGAGGGATATGACCTAAAATAGCTAAGAGGTCTCCCAGTTCCCCAGATTTGATTGATTCCTGATGGTGGGGCATCTGCCCTTTTAGTTTATTTGAGCAGTGTTGTTGACTCCACCCGTAGCTCTCCAAATCATCTCTAATAATAGTAATAATCGCCACAACACAGTTACTGAGGGCTCACTATGCACATGACACATTCTGGACACTTTCTTTTTTTTTTTTTTTAAAAGATTCTCTTGCCCTAGGGCGCATATGCTCACTGAAAAAAGACAGAGAGAGAGAGAGACAGAGAGAAGGAAAGTGAGAAATTGCCCCCTGGGGGGAGGAGATGGCCACACCACAATCCCTTCCTTCATTCTCTCAAGATTTTGGGCATGTACCCTTATATGCCCAGTGTGATTTTCAAGTTACCCAGGTCCAGGACTGGAAACATGGTCAGCCATGTGGGAATCCAGTGCCTTAAACACCTCACCACCTGATGGCCCCAACATTTTCCTTGTTTTAACACATTTAATTTTCACAGTAACTCCATGAGGCGAAGACTAGTTATCAACACTTTCATCTTAGCCATGGAAAAACTACAGCACAGAGAGGCAATGTAATTTGCTAAGGTCACAGAGCTAGTAAGTAAAAGAAACTTAGCTGACAACCTAGGCCTTAGTGTTCTCAACTTGTTGACCCTATGTGTCATTACACTGTCTGCCTGGTGTAGACATTTCCTGGTGATCAGCTAGGTGCTTGGCTTCTTCCTGGCTGGTGGCCAGAACATGTGCACTTGGAGTGACATTTCCAAAGCTCCACAATCTATTCACTCAGTAGCCTCCCTGCCCTCAGAGAGCTCAGTCTCACGAGAACCGTAGGTGTTAAGCAAGAGCGCACACAAAGTAAATTGAGCACATACATACAAACGCTCTAGGAGACCATGAACAATCAAACATTTCAAGTAGACCAAACAGAAACGTGATCAAAATTTAAGGGGCAGGGTGGGGCGGGAGGTTCCCTTAGCTGGGATGGTCAGGGAGGTGACCCTTAAGGTCATGAGAATGATGGCAAGAAGTTTGTGAAGATCAAGGGGTGAGAGAGCTTCCAGGGAGGGGCCATGGACCAAGGGCCCACTGCAGGAAGAAGGCTGGCATATGGCCGCTGCAGACAGAAAGGGCAGGAATGGTCAGGCAGTTCATCCCTGGCGGGGAGTTACTCCCTGGAGAGGAATGGGTCCCCTTCATCTCCCGCCGAGCCTCACTTCAGCAAATCCCAATTCTCAAACAGCTTCCCACAACTGAGCCCTAGCATGAGGCACTTGCTCAGTGGCCCTCAATACATGAAAGCTCTTATTGTTATAAAGTGAGGTGTTATGGGTGAGGGCATCTCTTTAAAGTTCTTTATAAAAGAAAAACTTTCTTATTTGAGAGAGAGAGAGAAGCACCCTCAGCAGAGTCATGCTGCCCTCTGTCTCCCGGCCTCTCAGTCAGGGTCACAGGTGCACCAGGAACAGAACTAGCATTTCCCATGTGGCTCACAGCCGTGCAGATGTGTGTGTGGCTGCCGCACTACCTTAGCTGGCCCTAAACCTTCTTCTGATGATGTTGAAAGGACGAGGCAAGAAGGAAGCTCCATGAGCCGGCCACCTGTTGTGCAAAGGCAGGGATTCCTTCCTTATCAGGGTTATCTTGATATCGCAAATGGTACTGCCCTTCTGGCCTGTCGGTGGTGCAGCGGTAAAACACAGATCTCTGCAAAGCAACGCCAGTGGGAGGGTTCCTGGTTCAAGTCCAGAGGCTCCCTGAGTAGAGTTGGCTCATGATCCAGGGCTGACTGATGGTTGGGGGTGGATAATAGTGTCAAGACCCTGTTGGGGATACTGTCTCTCTTACAATAGAAGAAATAAACTTTAAAAATAGTACCATTCTCAAGTTAGATACCCAGGAGTCACTGCAATATCTCTTTCCC